GGGGCTGGTGCGGGATCGGGCAGTGTTTCGTTCTGCTGTGCATGGGGTCGCTATGAGTCGGAAACGACTCGACGGCACTTAACAACAACAACAAATAGTAGATGGTCAGTGAAAAAGAGAAAACTTGACTTCTGGAAGGGGGTTGATGGGACTCCTTTATTGGTAAAAGTTGTTTCCCTCAAAATTACCCACACCTTCACTTTTTTAAGGAGCTCTGGTAGCATACATTTTTCTTTATGTTGCTAGTGGTGCCATTAAGTTGGTTCCGACTCATAGCAACTCTGTGTACAACAGTGAGAAACCGCCCGGCCCTGTGCCATCCTCACAGTTGTTGCTGTGTTTGAGCCCTTCGTTGCAGCCACTGTGTCAGTCCATCTCATTGAGGGTTTCCTCTCTTTCTCTGGCCCTCTACTTTACCAAGCATGATGTCTTTCTCCACACACTGGTCCCTCCTGAGGACATATGCAAAATAGCTAAGATGAACTCTTGTCATCCTCACTTCTAAGGAACATTCTGGCAGCACTTCTTCCAAGACAGATTTGTTTGTTCTTCTGGCAGTCCATTGTATATTCAGTATTCTTTAACAACACCGTAATTCAAATGCATCGATTCTTCTTTGGTCTTTCTTATTCATTGCCCAACTTTTGCATGCAAGTGAGGTGACCGAAAATATCAAGGCTTGTGCCAGGCACACCTTACTCCTCAAAGTGACATCTTTGCTTTTTAACTCTTCAAAGAGGTCTTTTGCAGTAGATTTTCCCAGTGCAGTATGTCATTTCATTTCTTGACTGCTGCTTCCATGGGCATTGATTGTGGGTCCAAATAAAATGAAATTCTTGATAGCTTCAATCTTTTCTCTGTTTATCATGATGTTGCTTACTGACCCACTTGTGAGACTTTTTGTTTTCTTTATGCTGAAGTGTAATCCATACTGAATCCATAGTCTTTGATCTTCATCAATAAGTATTTTACGTCTTCTTCACTTTCAGCAAGTGAGATTGTGTCACCTGCTTGTTGCTGGTTGTTGATGAGTCTTCCTCCAGATGTGATGCCATATTCTTCTTCCTATAGCTTCTTGGATTACTTGCTCAGCATACCAAAACCAAAAAACCAAACTCATATCTGTCCAGTTAGACCCAACTCATAGCAGCCCGTCCTTGGGTTTCTGAGGCATATCACTACAGAAGTAGATTGCCCAGTCTTCCTTCTGAGGAGTGGCTGGTGGGTTTGAACCACCGGCCTTCTGGTTAGCAATCAAATGCCTTAGGCACTACGCCACCAGAGCTCCTGCTCATCATACAGATTGGGTAAATATGATAAAAGGATACACATACCTTTCCAGATTTTAAACCATGTGTATTCCTTTGTTCTCTTTGAACAATTGCTTCTTGGTCGATGTACAGGTTCCTCATGAGAACAATTAAGTGTTCTAGAATTCCCATTCTTCACAATGTTATCTATAATGTGTTATGATTCACATAGTCAAAGGCCTTTGGATAGTCAATAAAACACAAGTAAACATCTTTTTGATATTCATTGCTTTCAGCCAAAATCCATCTGACATCAGCAATCATACTCCTCATTCCATGCCCAACTTTTGAATCTGGCTTGAATTTCTAGCACTTTCCTGTTGATGTAGTGCTGCAACCATTCTTGAATTAACTTCAGCTAAATTTTACTTGCATATGATACTAATGCTATTGTCTGATAAGTTACATGTTCTATTGCCTCACCTTTCTTTGGAATGAGCACATATAGGGATCTCTTCTTCTTTCTGATACTTTCTTTATTAACTTGTGATTTGATTTATTACACATACAGAAAATTCATTGGACTTTTTATATTGGTAAAATGTTTGCTCACATTACTCTTTTCTCCTTTTCTTGTTAAAAACATTTTCGCACACAGTCTGCAGTGGCCTAGGAGCTTTGGTGGGGCAGTGGTTAAAGAAGTTGCCTGCTAACCAAAAGATCAGACTTAGCTGCCACTGTGCAGGAGAAAGATTAGGCAACTTCTTCCTTAAAGATTTACAGCCTTGGAAACCCTATGGGCCATTTCTACTCTGTCCTATAGTGTCACTATGAGTCAGAATTGGCTCAATGGCAGTGGGTTATACAGTGGCCTGTATTTTTAATGTGTATTTTATGTGTGTTTTTGTTGTATTGTCTTTTGCAGTCGAAATCAGCTGTCCACCCTGCCAGCCTGCCTGTGTGGTCTGCCTCTCAAAGTCTTAATTGCAAGTAACAACAAGCTTGTGTCGCTGCCAGAAGAGATAGGCCAGCTGAAACAGTTAATGGAATTGGTATGTTACTGATTATCAAGATGTTGTTTTTTTGTTTGCTTACTGACCATAACCTAGAAATGTAGAAAGAAAGACTTTTTGCAACATTTGGGCGGAGGAGGTTGTTTTTGAGGATAGTGTATGATGTACTTTACCAGGGAGGGTAACAGCATTGGCTTTTCTGTGATAAGACAGTTTCTGGAATGCTTTACAGATTATCGTATTATAATTAGATAATGTGTTTTAGATAGTGTATAAGTTTATGATAGATTATGGATAAGCTGGCAGAGTAATATACAAATAAATTAGTAGGCCACATTTTATGAAGATGTATAATTAAGTCAGGACACAGAAAGAACACAGCCCATAAGGGTTTTAGAAAGCATTGCCCCAAATTGATGCAGATTGATGCCCACTCTGAAAATGTGACTTGGCCCTGGGGATTTAAAAAAAAAAAAAAAGATCAAGTTACGAAGAGCAGAGATGGGTGTGTGTCTAAAGCTAAAATGCAGTGTTCTATTTCAGCTGTTTCCTTGCTAATTTAATTACTTATCTTGTTTCTAAATTAGGGAAGTATGAATCCTTTCTAGGTTTCCATTTAGTTAAGATGGACAAGAAAAAATGCAGAGATGAACAATCAGGCTAAAAGGCAATAGTCCTAATTTCTCCTGGGGCGATACTAATTGAAAAGTTGGCGGTTCAAGTCCACTCACAGGTGCCTTCAAGAAGAGGCCTAGTGATCTACGTGAAAAAGGCCAGAGCTATTGAAAACCCAGGGGAGCACAGTTCTCTTTGACCCACATGGGGTCATCGTGAGTCTGAGTCAACTAGACAGCATTGGTATTTATCAAGCAAGCATTATTCAATATGGCCTTTGTGTCAAGTACAGAGCTCAGTGTTGTAATTAGAACAATGAAAAGGATACATTACCTATCTTCAAGTAGATTTCAATCTGGAACATTGATGGCAAATAAGTGTGGCAATTCCTATCAGTTTCCCAGGGGTCATCTAGAATGCCATGGTGAGAAGAGCTGTAAGGCCCAGATGGAGAGAGCTATGGTCAGTTAGGCATGTCTCCAGTGGGAATTAACTAGGAGAGTAATGGCATCCCTGTCACATATTTATCATTTGATTTTAATATTACTAGTTGCCATTGAGTCAGCTCTGACTCATGGTGACCCCATGTGTGTCATAGTAGAATCCTGCTCTATATGGTTTTCAGTGGCTGATTTTTCTGAAGTAGATCACCAGGCCTTTCTTCTGACGCTCATCTGGGTAGACTGAATCCTCCCAGTCTTTTGTTCAGTGGCCAAGTATTTAACCATTTGTACCAGCCAGGGACTCCTGCCTTTAGTATAAACTAACCCAAACCTATTGCCTGCACCCATTCATAGCAACCCCATAGGACAGAGTGGGAGCTCCGGTGTCATAGTGCCTAAGGCATTTGACTCCTAATTAGAAGGCTGGCGGTTCAAACCACCAGCCACTCCTCGCAAGGAAGACTGGGCAATCTACTTCCGTAGTGATATGGCCTCAGAAACCCAAGGAGGGTCGCTATGAGTCAGATCTGACTCAGTGGCAGTGAGTTAGGACAGAGTAGTACTGCCCCACAGAGTTTTTAAGGCTATGATCTTTATGGAAGCAGACTGCTTCATCTTTGCCTATGGAGCAGGTACTGGGTTCAAACTACAGACCTTTTGGTTAGCAGTCAGGCACTTAACCATTGCACTACCAGGACTCCTTTGACTTCAGTATAGAAAAGAATGATTGGTATATTAAGGGATTAGAGCTATTAAAAAAAGAAAAGAGTATCTTCTTCAGGACATTTTTAATGACAGTAATTGAAAAACCATTCAAACTAGCTCACACCAAAAGTAGTGGTTGATTGTAAGGATGCAAGGGTGTATAACATAACTCAATATCAGGAAATTTGGTCAGGCATTATGAACGACTAGAACAAGAAACAAGACAACGATTTGTTGTTCTCTCAGCTTTTGCTGCTTCTCTGTGCAATGGCGGAGGTTACCCTGCCCACAGATCCAAGTGTAATGCCTTCCCAGCCTAAGCTGAGTCTCATGACAGAGACCTACTAGCATGTCTCAGCCTTGATTTCTAAGGGAAGGGCAATGCTAGGGTCCAGTATCCAACATCCTCTTCTGACTCAGTCAGCTATGCCCAAGGCGCAGTCACACTGCCCAAACTGAGCCTCTCAGCTGCCACCAGAGAGAGCAATTCTAAGCGAAGACAGATCTTAAATGGTACTCTACTAACAAGAAACATGTGCGTGAGTTAGGGAATTACTGATTTAGTGTTGGTGTTGGGAAAGATTTACAAAGGAAGAAACGTTTTGAGTGGCCTCTATCCTAACTTACCTAGGGCTGCTGTAACAGAAATACCACAAGTGAGTGGCTTTCGAGAACAGAAATGTATTCCCTCACAGTCAGGAGGCTACAAATCCAAATTCAGGGCACTGGCTCTAGCGGAAGGCTCTCTCTGCTGGCTCTAGAAGAGGCCCTTGTCTTAGCTTCTTAGTCCCAGCTTCCCGTGTTTCTTGGTGATTGCTACATGGCATCTGTTTGTCCTGTTTGTGCTTGCTCGTCTCTGTGTCTGTGCTACTCCTTAGAACTCACATTAGTGATTAGGTTTAAAGCATACCCTGCACTATATGGCCCCATGAACATAACAGAAAACCCTATCCCCCAATGGAATTACATCCACAGATACAGGGCTTAGGGTTCTAATGAATATTTGGTGGGGACATACAGTTCAGTCCTCAACATTCCTTAATAAACCTCCGTGGGATTTTCTAGATGTTAGAAAGAAAGTAGAGGCAGGGAAGGCATTTGATAGAGATGGGTCAGCTGTGTGAAGGCAGACGGCCTGGAAGTAGCTGGCATAATTGAGGAGTGGAAGCAGGTTACTCCCGCTGGGTTCTAAGTAGAATGGGGCTGGGTGCTTTGTCTTCTCGGCTACTGCCTTAGATTTAGGCCACCACCAGCCCCGTCAGGTGGCTTTCACAGTCTTCTGTGGTCTGGCCTCTGATTACCTCTCCAGGTTTGTCTCTACCCTGTTTACCTACTAAGTTCTGTCAAGTCACCTTGTTCACTTTCGCTTCTAGATTTCTGCACCCATCATTTTTTTCTACATGGACTATTTCTTCCTTCCCATTTTATTTTGGTCAGTTCCTAGCTGACTAAGAGAACACATTCTCCAGAAAGTCTTCCCTGAGGTTCCAAGCCTGAGTTAGGTGCTCCTAAGGCGGCAAGCACCCTATATTTAGCATTTAATGTTCACAGACTCACATTTGTCTTTGTACTTACTTATCTCCACACCAGCTTCCCTTGTACCTTGAAAGCTGTATCTTACTTGCTATTGTATGTGTTGCCTGGCACGTGATAAGAATGCAAACCAATTGCCATCAAGTTGATACTGACTCATACCGACCGGACCCTATGTGTGCCAAAGTGAAACTGTGTTCCACAGGCTTTTAAATGGTTGTGATCTTTTGGAAGTAGATAGCCATGTCTTTCTTCCAAAGGAGCCTCTAAGTAGATTCAAACAGCCAGCCTTCTGGTTAATAGTCAAGTGCTTAACTGTGTGCTGCCCAGGGACTCTTGGTACATGATTGTTGTTGTTATTGGGTACCATCGAGTCATTTGTGACTCTTAACAACCCCATGTGACAAGGTAGAACTGCTTTCTAGGCTGTAATCTACATTTCCAGGCCTTTCTCCTGTAGAGCCACTGAGTGCATTTGAACCACTGACTTTTCAGATAGCAGCCTGGTGCTTAGCCATTGTGCCTGGGTACACAATAAATGTCTGCTGAATGTTGTCATGTGGTAGAGAGTCAGCCTAGAAAGATGGCTTGGCATGAGGAAGATGCAAATCAAAATCACAATGAGATACTGCTTCACTCCCATTAGACAGCTAAGCTAAAAAAAAAAAAGAACAGAAAATACAGCAAATGTTGGTAAAGGTTGGAGAAATCCAAACCCTCCTTCATTGCTGGTGAGAATGCAAAATGGTACAGCCACTGTGGAAAACAGTTTGATGGTTCATCAAAAACTTAAAAACAGAGACACAGTTCGACCCAGCAAATCCCACAGTTAGGTATATACCCAGGAGATTTGAAAGGAGAAACACAAACAGAAATAACCAGCGTTCATTGGAGCCCTATTCACAATAGCCAAAAGGGAAGCAGCCTAAAGTCCATTGACAGAAGAATGGATAAACAAAATGTGGTCTATACGTAGAAGAGAATATTACCCTGCCATAAAGAGAAATGAAGTCCTGATACCTGCTACAACGTGGATGAACCTTGAAAATATTATGCTGAGTGAAATAAGTAAATAACAAGAGGACAAATATGGTATGATTTTTCTAATATAAAACTCTTAAAACAGCCAAATGTGCAGAGTTCAGAGTGTAACAGTGTTTACCAGGGTTGGGGGAGCAGAAGGAGGGAAATCTTTGTCTAGCCAGCACTGAGTTTCTGTTTAAGGGGCTGCAACACATGACAGTGGATACTGGTGATGGTTGCACAACATGATTGGTGTAATTGTTTTAATTAAACTGTGTAAGTGACAAAAGTTGAATGGACAAATGTTGTGTTACTTATGTGCTTTTTTACAACAATGAAAAAGAAACATGGCTTGTATCAGACTGTGAAGCCCTCAAGTGCTGTGCCAGGGGAACTCTGTCTTGCAGTCTAAGTTAATTTAGACAGTGACATTTTAACTACTGCCATAAAACAAAAATACATACTAATACTTTGGATGAAATTGATAGTTGTGTGCTTTTTTTTAGGAGTCTGATGAGCCACAAAATCTGAGGTTGATAAAATTTGATTTGGTCTTGGAAACACAATACCAATAACAAGTTGGTTTTCCCCCCTTCTTCCTGGGCTCCTGCGGATGGGTGGCACACTGGTGAGGCCTAACTTATGGACATTTAGGCAGCTGGTCTGTGTTTCTGTCTCACTGAACCCTGTGCTTAAGCCAGCACAGCATGCCATCTATCA